TTTCTGAATGAGCGAACTGGTATCCAGAGGCTTTGTCAAACTACCCTGGTGAAATGCCATCAGTGTCTCTACCATTCTCCCAGCCACACGCAAGCGCACGCACACTTCACTCTTTGTGGAAAGTGGACATGAAATCTCCCAGCCAGGTGTGGCAGGGGGAGTGAGGGAAAACTGCGGCAGCAACTATAGTAAGAACTGCAGTTGTTTCTGGGAGTCCCCCCACTTAGCCCAGATCTGCCCCTGAACCAAGAAAGCAAATCCTCCTAAGAACCGAAAGGCCATGGAACCTGTGACAAGAGGACAGGCAAAGAACACAAGAGTCTGCCATCAAGATACAGGAATTGCGTTATTGCAAACATCCTGGCCAAATCCACTGGTACTAACCTCTGGCCTTTTTTATCACAAATGCCAAGGGTCTACTTGGGCAAGGAGACAGACTGCAACCCACAGTACATCTGGAATCCTAATGATTTTAAGACATGGACAAGACTAAACATCAAGTTCACATCCAGGAATAAGGGGCCAATATGGGGCCAGGACACTCTGCAGTTTATACCCTTCCCTTCTTGACTCGGGAAGGCCCCAAGGACCTTCCTCCGGGGCTGGGGTGCTTTCTGGAGTCAGAAGTTAAAATTAGCAGGTGAGTGCTAAGACCAAGCAGAAATGATATGCTTTGGGGTAAAGCTCAGATGGGAACTTGCAAAAGCCTGAGGACAAAAGGCAAAGCAACACCCACTGCAAAGTCTCCACCGCTCAGCTGTGTAAACAAATAAAATGGTCCATTTCTTCTGGAGCCTCTCCTGGTTGTCTTTGAGCGCACACACAAGCGTGCGCGCGCACGCACGCACACACACACACACACACACAAGCCACTTCACATCTTAAAAGAAAAACAACCATGAAAGGTCTACACAGTTTGTTTTTGTTGTGTGTGAAGTTATTTTTTCCTAAATCACATCTGACTTGGTGTTAAAACATCAACCTTTGGCCAAAATGCTCTTAAAACAAAGGCTTAATTGGTTCTGAAGGAGCCCTTCTGAAAACCAAGGGAAATCTCTTCTGTGGGTCTTGACCTTGATTACAACACTGCTCTTCGGGCTGGAATGATGATGAGTGGAGGAGTCTCGGAAGAGAGGTCTTCAGGGAGACAACAGGGATGCCTAAACACTCATTCACATTCTCTGGGAGGCACCTGCAGTGTATGGGTCCACCTCTGAATTCAGCCTGCAAAATCTTCCCAGGTTAATGGAAACAGTGGGAAGAGTTCCTAGGAACTGGGGCCAAAAGCCAAGTGGCTGTGTGAAGGCAAACTGGCCTCTGACCACACCTAGCTCACTTTACTGCTCTCCTCCCCTGTATCACCCACATACCTACAACCACTCAGCCAAGGCACTTCGGTGATGACACCTGAAATCCGGCATTCAAACCTCTCTCAAACGATCGATGCAAAGCTAAACACATGCTACCCCATGTCTCCCCAAGGCCACTCTTGGATATGAAGAACAGAAACGAACACACATATTCCTCCGAAAGATGAGGGTAAGAATGTTACTAGGACCTTATTCATAATAGCAGAAAATTGGAGACAATCCAAAAATCCAATAACACAGAAAGGATGTGTGTATTGTGTCATACTCCTAGTTGAATACTAATGGCAATAAAAAAAAAAAAAAAGAGCAGACTATTGCTACATACAATAACAGGAATATAACTCAGACATAATGCTGAGTGGGGCCAGACATGAGACAATCCATTCTGCACAATCCCACTTCAGTGAAGCTAAAAAACAGGCACAACTAATCCATGGCAATAGATAAAGCCATTCCGTGGTGAGATTTGGGAGTGGGGGAGGGGGAGGTGGCAGATGACTGGGAAGGGAGGGAAACAGGAGAGACTTCTGGGAGGTTGGTAATATTCTCTCAGGGGCCAGCAAACTACAGTCTGGGGGCCAAATCCAGCCACTGTCTGACTTTATACATAAAGTTTTATTGGGACAAGGCCACATCTATTCCTTTAGGTATTATTTTTAGTTGCTTTTGCACCACAACGTCCAGAGTCGAGTAGCTGCCATAGAGACCATACAGCCTGCAAAGCCTCAAATATTTACTATCTGGCCCTTTACAGAAAAACTGTTCCAACTCCACTCGGTATGTTGGCCGGGGTGATGGTTTCATGCATGTTCATGCGTGTAAAAGTTCATCCATCTCTCCACCAAAGATCTATGTACTGTGCTATACTTATATTATACGTCAATAAAACTTTTTAAAAGTCAGTCAAACTAATAACTATGTCTTTTTTTTTTAAGGCCTCTTAAGTGTCATTCCAGTTAGATTTGTGTTAACCACTTAGGGAGAATATGGCCATTTGTGTTACTCTTGTCTTTCCAAAGTTGAGAGAAGTTAGGAGATTGTCAAAAAGCGGGGAAGATCCCAAAACAGCAATTGACATTGTGTCCAAACTTTTCCCAAGAATGAGACGGGCTACAGAATCACTTGGAGGCCATTCATATAAACAGTGAACTTGGCCAAGGCCTGAGACTGCAGGGGATGGGAAGGAAAGGGGTGTGGGTCTCACGTGGCACGAGGTGTCACACTCCTCAAGGTTATTTTAGGATATAGCTTAGGAGAGCAACACCCTCAGCTCATATTGAAATACAGTATTTATTAAGCTGAATCAGTTTTAAGTTTCCAGGGAAAGAAAATCCTGCCCCACCAATCACACTGCATGCAAGCCTTACGCTGGAGAATGACTCGACCCCAAAGCAGTACCACCCTCATCTCTACACCCCCACCCTGCAGTCGGGCTGCTGCATGCATGGGGAATAATTTTGTGTCGGAGATTTCCCCTTTTCTCCCTTTGCTTCTTCCGGTTTCTGCCATTTATCCTTTGATGATCAAACTACAATTACAGCTAGATGCCATTTGGCTTGGCCTCCTCCCGGTCTAGGAGAGATTGGGGGACGGGGGCAGAATGAACTCTGAGAGCATGCCGGTGCTGGGTCTCTAATAAAATGTCTCTCTGTTTGCCCACATGGGCACCAAGCCTTAGCAAACAGAAGCAGGGGAGAACAATACTACCTGTTCATGGTGGGATAGTAATGGTTTCAGTCCTCCAAACAATGAGGTCTGTAATTTACTCCATTTTCCTCCTGAGAAAGAGCTTCACATGGCCTGCACCGTGCCAGGTGGTTTGGAGAAAGACGACCTGCTCGGTCTAACAAGGGACGCTTCAGCAGCGGGTGTAAAGACACAACAGCTGCTCTGGCCTCGGCTGGTCTCCCAGTGACATGGCCCCAGCCAGCCTTGCCACACCAAGACAGAGATCACTATGCTATTCAACCTCAACAATTCCCACACCCCGGGCAACAGGATCTTCCAGCACTCCACGAGAGTGGTAGGCCTCAGGACACTTCTCTGTGCATCCCTCCATTCATCAAGACCTAGGGTTTGGGCTTGTTCCCCATCCAAGCCCTGAGTCTAAACCAGTTTCCAGGGGCAAGACTCACTACGCCGCTAATCAAAAGGAAGAAGGGTCCACCAGGAAATGTGCCAGCAAGAACAACTGCACAGCACGTTCAAGACATCAGGCTTGAAAATATCTGGGGGTGAAGGGGTAAAAATCAAGATCCCACTTTCCCCCCTCAAAGACACAGAGAGATCAGCAGCACACTGCAGACGGAAACAAAATATTTCAAAAATAAGTTACTGTTGCCTTGAAATAAGTACAAAAACATTAGGGATCCACCAAACAAAAATGTCTGCTGAGTCAGACTTTTCACGGGGGCAAGAATTCAGTTTAACTGGGGCACGTGGCTATCTGAACGTCTTATCCAGGAAGATGCAGATTTGAAACAACAGAGCCACCAAGATGCGACGTGGCTCTAGTCTGGTGAGACCACACACACACACACACACACACACACACACACACACACACACACGTTATCTGCTAGGGTGACAAGATAGGGTGCAATGGAACAACAGAAATTAGTCAACCAACTGACATCAACTTCTAAGAAGAGAAGACCTAGAGCCAGACTTCAACATCACAGCAACAGGTTTCAAAAGCCTCTCTTCAAAGGGTTAAACCAGAACCCTCAAGAAGTTTTGGTACCGTGAGTTACACCATGTGTAACATCCATCCTGGCAAAGCCAGGCAAGGCAGACAGATGAAAATTGTATTAGTCTGCTCTCCCTCGACTACTGCATTCTGTTGGCATCAGTTCAGCTCGGAGTCTATATTAGTCTGTGATTTGTTTAGCCTTTGGATTTAAGAGAATGGAAGTACTACGTGAGCAGGAAACAGGACACTCATCAGAAGCTGGGATCTGTCACCTCTCCCTTCCAGCACTTTTAATGACATATATCAACAGGTCCAAGAGAAATCAACATTTCAGGACAATCAGGTCAAAAGCGATATTCTTAGCACCACTTAATATGATTTGGATCGACCGGAAACAACTCTCTGGCTGTCACACAGCCTCCTCCACCTCTCCACCGCCCCCCTCCCCCACCCGCCCAATGCTTCCAGTTCACAGTTGGCCACCTCCTCTTACACCCAACTGAAGATTCTTCCCTAAGCCAAAAACAAGAGCCAAGCTGGGGTCTGGGTGCCCACTATGCCTGACCAAGAAACTTAACAAAAAACACAGGCTCCTCTTTCTTTCCGTCATCTTTAAATCATTTTGGCAGCATTTCTGTTCGTTTCTTTGCTTCCCACCTCCCCCAGTGAATGAACCACCACCAGCACCATCACCACCATCACCATCGTCATCACCAACATCATTATCACACCATAGTCATCACCAACATCACCACCATCATCCCCACCATCATCATCCCCACCACCATCATCCCCATCACCACCATCATCACCACCATCATCCCCATCACCACCGTCATCATCATCATCATCTAGATTGGGGGAAGGGGCAGAGAATAAAAGACACAAGAGACCTACATATTGACAATTCAAGCTTCAGGATCTCTTGCATTTCCTACCTGAATTGCAATCTGGTGTTCAATCGTTTTGTACGCAGAGTAATGTGTGCTCCCGGACTGAAAATGGAGCTGTAGAAAGAAACCAAATCAAAGCGTTCTGCTTATGTCACAAACTACAAGAAAACATCTTAAGCAGTTTATGAATAGCAGACAAACCTTCCTAGATTGAACTGCAGCCTTGGCATTCAATCAAGACCTGTGTATTTTTATTTGTTGCTATGGATAAGATGATCATAATAATCTAAGGTAAAGTTTAAAAAAAAAAAAAGCACCTATTCAATAAGCAAAAAGGGAGGGGGAGGGGGCCAGGAGTGAGAATCAATGACATGAAAAGGAAAGACGGATGCCCATTAAAACATAAAGGAAGCCAGTGTGCTGAGCGGGATGCTGCGGAAAAATTAACTGTGGGCTGCAAACAGTCATCAGAATTGCAACGTGGAGGCAAGAGGAAAGGTTGTGAGAAAGGATTCTGAGAAGCCACAAGACTGCAACAGGTACAAGCTCCCCACCATTCTAACTGGGCTCTTGCTCCCAAACACAGTTGTTTTGGGGAAAACATATATGGCAGTCAAATTTCAGGGCCCCCCCAAAGCCTTATACATTCTTTTGCAATGACTAAGCTATCCGTCCCAGAACATCTTGCCTGCACTCTAGGAGTCCACACTTCCCCAAAGAGGGAGCCAACCACGGCCAGAGGGCCACCGAGTGTTCTCAGGACCACCTATTCGGTGGCCCCTGGCTGAATGCTCGTCCCTGGCTCCCTCCAACTTTCCACAACAGAGGGTCAAATGCCTCCTGGGCCTTTCGCTCTGAAGCCCTACAGATCCCTCATCAGAGAAGTGGGCGGAATACTGAGATTCCTCACCAAATTCTCCTTTTCCCAAAACATCCTTGTTAATCTTGGGATCCTCCAGATGGGGAAAACAAACACCATCTGCTGGTTTATCTTATAAACAATACACCAATCACTAAAGGATCTCAACAGCATCTGAAAATGCATTTCAATCTGCAATACATGAACAAATGAGGAGGAATTAGATGGTCCTGGGAAATCCATGCCCATTCCCCTCACACATCGGGCATCAGCGATGATTCCAAACCACTGCTATTCCTGCTCCTGTCCTACTGCAGTTGCCAGAACACTTCTCTACTATTATAACAAAATGTAAGCTAGCTTGCAAGCGCGCTTCAGATCCAATTATTTTGTATCTTGGTCCTTGCATGAAAAATCATTCAGTCCACACAGGTTTTGAAAAAAAAAAAAAAAGAAAGAAAGAAATTCACAGAACTTTTGAACCACCTCAAAATAAACACAACACAGAAGTAGTCAAATTAAAAAAGTCTAAATTTTTATTGCTCATGGGAAAGGCTCTAAGTCCCCACTTAGGCATACAATGTGCTGAGATCATTTTATCTACTACAAATAAACAATCAAAACACTGCCTATATAGAAGTCTGCTTGCCCCCAAAATATATTAATCAAGTTTGAAAGGGGCACAATACAGATGAGGCGAAAAAATACCTTTTTTTTCTTTTACCTGTCAAAGCAGAATGATTGAACCACACTCCCTAAAACACAAGATGTACCCTGAGCAAGTGAAGGTAATGCCCCACCCCCTCGCAGCCCCCCGACACACTCAGAAACAGTTCGTCAAAGTGAATCGCAGAAAAAGAAAGATGAATTTGCACCCTTTGCCCCCCCGTCCTTTCTGTGAAAACTGCCAGTCAGGAAACAGCGATTGCACTAACTTGTGACAGTTCCACATCATCTTAAAACAACTTCTGTGCTAGGGACAGGTTCCTCTGCAAGTTTGAAATTCTTGGCTGGAGAGCAGCTCTTGGGGGGGGTTTCTCCTTCTAAGTTGAGAGGCAACAATAACAACGTGTCCCCCTTTCCACCAGGGTTTTATTCTCCTCTTTTCCAACTGCCCTATTCAGAGCTTAATGGAAACTTGTCCAAGCTTTTCTTCCCACAAACCCTGCAGAGCCCCTATAGGCAATCTGTGTGTAACCACAGGAATCTTAGATTGTCAATTAAAATTGAATGGACATCTGATAACTAAGGATATGTCGTAGAAACAAAATTTCATATAATCACAGTCTTATGAATAAATTAATGAAACTGTGGCTAATCCAAATTCAATTTTCACTTGTCCGGTTCCATTCTTAACCCTTATGTCCAATCACCACCCGGACAACACAATCTCAGAGAGAATACCACAATTAAAACAGTAAAAATGCGGCTGCAACGTCCTTAAGAATCTAGCTGGACAAAGTTAATTTAACACACACACACACACCCCATCCTAACACCCCCAAGCAAAGTAACTTCCCTCCTCAGCTGTCCAGCCACACAGACAACCTGGACCAGCTCAGAAATACACACAGCACAGGCTCCAATGGGATCTTTACTCCCAGCCAGTAACCACTGTGTTGGGACGCATGGGGAGCTAAACTTCCCCCAGCTACAGTGACAAAGACTTACAATATTCTTGTTAGTCCTTTGGATTTCCACCCCCTCTTTTCCCAAATACTACTTTCTTAAACATACTTTCCACAGCTTTTTGACTTCCCCGTAAAACACAAAGATGCCTTGTTCGTTATGGTCTAGCTTTTTAAGACAAAAACAAAATACAAGGACCCAGTAAAAACCTGGCATGCTGGACTGGAACAAGAATTTATTTATCTCTCTGTAAAAAAACCTCTAAGGAAGGCAAGGACAAGAGATGGTGGCCTTTTGTTTTTCAGAAGATGAGGGGAGGGAGGTTGAGAGATCCAGCACAGGCTCAACTGAGTTCAAGAACCAGGCTCGCACATGCCCCCAACCCTGGGACCGCCCTGCTCCTGGTCACCTGCAGCACCCCGCGTCACCTCCTCTGCCAGCAAGTACAGCTGTTACACCATGGACATGCAACGTGTCCTCCCCATGGTACCTCCCTGGGGCATCCTGGGTTGTCACCATACGAGAACTCCAGGGTACTTTTCATTTAATTCCTTCCCATGAAACTTCCAACAAAATAAACCCTCCCTTCCTGTGTGCTTGTCTACAATGGCCAAGCCCACCCACCCATTCAAACACCCCCAGATGATCTGGCCCTCACTTGTCCAAAGGAAGAACCACGAAGATGGGGCGATGCTCGGCACAGGCTTGCACAATTCCCCGGCAATTAAAAAACCAACAATTGACAATTAACTGCTTCCCATATTATTACCGTATCTTGATGTCTCGTTTTATTTCTAATCACTACTACTGGCCCTTAATTTGATGTTGCAAATACAAGACCTCAGAGATATCCAGAGACGAGAAAAAAAGGAAAACCACTTTTTCAACCACAGAGACCTCATCCTCAAAGGGGACTAAAGTAAGTAAAACCCTGTGTTGGTTTCTCCAACACTAAGTGAACCTCCAGTGTGATGAAGATTAATTTTTTTAGACCTATTCACGCCACTAAATTGGGAAAAGGTGGAGCCTAGGCTCTATTTTCCGTTTTATCACCTGGCTTTCTTTCTTATTTCAAGAAAAAAAAAAAAAATCCAGATTCATTCCCCTTTCAAAAGGTTTTGGTTTGGGGGGTTTAGGGCCCACTTTTACACTGTAGCTATTACCAAGAGCCACTTGATGCTTAATTCCCATGTCATTAGCTTAAAAGACAGAATACTTTTTTTAAATAAATTTATACCAATGTTATTTTTTTAATTTTTTATTGTTATGTTAATCACCATACATTACATCATTAGTTCTTGATGTAGTGTTCCATGATTCATTGTTTGTGCATAACACACAGTGCTCCACGCAGAATGTACCCTCTTTAATACCCATCACCAGGCTAACCCATTCCCCCACCCTCCTCCCCTCTAGAACCCCCAGTTTGTTTTTCAGAGTCCATCGTCTCTCATGGTTCGTCTCCCCCTCCGACTTACTCCCCTTCATTCTTCCCCTCCTGCTATCTTCTTTTCTTTTTTCTTAACATATGTTGCATTATTTGTTTCAGAAGTACAGATCTGTGATTCAACAGTCTTGCACAATTCACAGCGCTCACCAAAGCACATACCCTACCCAATGAAAAGACAGAATACTTTTGCTACTGCTAGTACATCTAAGACTTTTTCTTAGGTCATCAGTCCCTGTTCAGGACACAGCACCCCTAGTCCCATGCGGCGAACCTCTTCCATTTAATGGGAAATAAACTTCTGACCAGGACTCTGCGTTACAGACTGCCCTTCCAAAAAGTGCCAAGGGGGCTCTAGCTTCCACAAGGAAAGCAAAACCAGCACTGACTGGTACGTATGCCGGCTTAAACATTCCTCCCCAGATCTCAACACCGAACATTTGTACCATCCTAAAACAACAACTTAACAAAGGCATCCCCTTTTCACTTCCTGGCAATCTCCTTCAGAAATTCTGCTGCAACAAAACGCATGCCTTTAGACACAAGAACAATCTCTCCTACTGTCTCAATGTTCCATCCAAGGTCTATTTACCCTCATTAATTTTTCTTTTCTTTTCCTCAACCTGAAACCATCAGCTATGAGTCAGAGAATGATCATTAACTTTTACAGCTTCCATACACATCCACCTACTCACATTTGGGGAAAGAAGACTTGCAACATCGCCTGAGACCAAAATCCTCCATGAGAGAAAAGGAGGGAAAAAAAATGACTTCAAGAAAGTTATAGATGTAGGTCTATGGGGGGTGGCGGGGGGCTACATGAATTGTATTTCCACTCAGTGCTGCAATCTGGCGCAAAAAGAGAAAAGTTGAACTTGGTTATGGTGATAGGCATTTCTGGGCTGATTTCTTAAGAAAAACGAGATTTTCTTTAAACATCAAAACATAATTAAAGTTCTTAAACCGGGGGGGGGGGGGGGGGGGGGAATGAAGTGAATCAAGTTTCCTGCTCTTGTACGAAATACATTTCTAGCATATAAAAACACGTGGGCTAAGGTGCTGAGACATGTTCCTAACATAATATTTTTCATTAAAAGTTGCTACATTAACACTCTTAAAATGATGCCCTATCATTACTCCACTTAGCAGTCACAGCTCTGCAACTCATAACGAATTAAT